GTCAAATCTAAAACCAAACAAATGCAACCCAAGAATTAGCTTTACAGAAGACAGGTTTCATTCCTTCACAAAAAGCTACACACTATGTATACAATACATGCACAAAGAAAAAACAAAAAAACAACCCCCACCAACTATCTCTGCTTTGTTTCTTGCTAAAAGGGTCTCGTCTCGGCCTCCTTGAATTCCCCAAACTCCCCTTCACGCTGCACTCACATGTTGCAAATGCACAAAATGCATCCTTCAGCTCACGTTCCCATAATTCCATGTGGCAGCAGAGTGATTAATGCACACAACTATTGATTTTTTTCTTTGCTTTTTGTCATTCCTTTTATGGCAACGCCCCCCGCCCCCCAAAAAAAAAACTTTAACAAGGATGAAAATGACTGTGCTTTTTAACCGGAAATAAAAAAAATTATGACACCCTCATGAAAAAAAAAAAGAAAATCCACACTCAAGCTCTTATTTTTCAGGCAGCTGAGTGGACTGGGAAAAGGGGCGCAGTGAAAGACAAGGGTCAGCATTTCACTAACTGCTGATCTGTGTTGGAGGAGGGGGGTATAAAATGATGGGCCGGGTTGTTTCCATATGGTTTTACTGCAGGGTGGGTGGAGTATAGTGGAAAAACAAATAAAATACACACATATATGTATATATCCATAGAGAGTGAATGGAGTATATAAAAACATCCATCCACTCCCTAACACAAAGTCAGGTACCAAATGTGTACAGTACATGCACAAGTTCATACCAGTATCTACAGCAGATCTGACTCCCAATTGCTGTGTGGTTACACACAGGGATCACGCATTCATGCTTGAGCCGTGACCCACTTTCCAGCCTCCAAACAACAAGATCAACAAACCATGTTTGAGTGAGGAAGAGAAATTGAAATTTGTAGGAGATGGAGAGCACATGCGGGAGGACTGAACAAAAAAGAAGGAAGAAGGAGGAAGAAAATAGGAGGAAGAGAGGGCAATGTCATGCTGGTAACATAATGCAGACTGTTGTTTACCAAAGAAAAATCCTCACCCACTCTAAATCTCCTCCTTCTTTTCTCTCCTCTCACTTCTTTTCCTCTAATCTGCCCTCTTCGCTCTCTGCATTTCATTGCATCTTCTTTCCTCACAAGCTCATTTCTACCATCGTGCCCTCCTTTCAAGGTTGGCCTGACTTTGGGCGTGTTGAATTTACAGCCATATCTCTGCCTGCCTCTCAGTGCCCTCACTGTCAATCTCAGTAAAAAATGGAGGCAGTGGCACATCGCTGGCATGATAAATTCCTACCCGAGCAGTGACGTGTGAGCCAAACACCTACAGTAGCCATGTTGAAGACTTCCTTAGAATTGCAATGGCTTGGCTGGTGGCTGGCTCAGACTGTGATTCTATTAGCGAGCAAACTGTTTAATTAGCGTCTATAAGCACTCACAAGAACCCATGAGAGAGGGCTGAGCAGAATGCAATAGTGAGGAACCACTTTGTGGGAAGTCGCCATGTGTTTGACCGAAAATTGTAACAATAGATTTGTTTTAAATGATGCTGTAAGCATTGGATGGGATGATCTTGATAAAGCAAATGAAAAAACTGCATGTACATGTACACAGCAGGAAATCTACAGGGGCACTGAGCCAAGAAGATTATGCAATAAGAGAGAAAAATAGAAAAAGTCCAATAGTCAAGGCCAGCGTAGGAGAATGAAGAGAAGAAAGGAGGTTTAAAACAACAAATTAATTCAACAGTAAAGAAATAAGAAATCTAAATTTAAAAAGAAGAAAAGTGCTGGACATAAATGATGTCAGAAAGTGATATTTTCAACAAGCTCTTGATTAGGCAATACGGTATGTGCAGAACTATCTTTCTTTAATATGACAGTCAAGGTGGTCCAGATACGGACGGTATGGATACGATATGGATACATGCCTATCATATTATTACAATCGTTTGCAGTTTTAAAGGGAATACCAATGGCCAGTCACATGAGCCACTCCATGAAAAGGACCTGCTTGATAATAAAAGTAAGACTCCGCAGGGCCTCTGCAGGTGTCCTGTGTAACAGGCAGAAAGACTTTAGCCAAATAATCATTCCCATCAGGAAATACTGCTTCTTTATAGAAGTGTAAGTGATCTGTAACCAAGCTGAGGTTGGTGGTACAAGTCACAGTTAAGGGCCAAGGGTCATTGTCGTAACATTTTCTGGTGCCTGTTTGCTTTCTTCCATTTGCACATCTGACTCATGACCCCTTTTCTCCTTTAATTTTATATTTAAGATTGTGACTATTTTTATTTGCTCTTAATATCGTAAAAGTACTACAAACAATACCTCACATCAACCAATAAGATATTAAATTTATGCCCACGATTCAACTGTATGCATTTTAAAAGGGAAAGGGGTTTCTGCGACATCTTGTTTGTAGCTCATTCCATCTCAGAGTACTGCACTTGCTGCGAAGCTCTGGTCTGCTACCAAGGCCACCTTTCTCATTATGATGCCTCGTATCATGAATGATGAGAGACAAAAGGACGACAAAAAACACACCATCCCAGCTCCATCCCTTTTCAAAAGCACGGCCACTTGACATGAAAACACACTAGGCCATGCAGCAAAAAGGAAACTCTCCAGACATGAAATTGCGCACACTGACGCACAAAAGCGCACATGACAGCCCCAACACGCACGCGCACACTCGTGTTTAAATAAAAGGTCTATCATATAAAATCCTGGCAGCAACATAGAAGGGCACAGCTCAACTCCTCCCCTCTCCACTCCGCTTTCTTTGTTTTTTTTCCTTCTTTCATCTCTCTATTAGCTCTGTCAATTGTTTATCAAAAGCAGCGAGGAGGCGAACGGAGACGGGCATTTGAAAGCTCTTGCTGCGAGATGCGTTTTAAAATTCATGATGGGTTAATGGTATGTTAGTGGCAACATTAGGACCTGGTGAGCCTGCATCGTGCTCATTCACATTGAACAAGCCGCTTCAAACGACTGCGAAGCAGTCCTCGTTCTGAAAGGTAATTCATATTGTAATTAACTTTTCAATCACAGCTGATTAATTAAGATGGGGCCTGGGCTGTAATTATGCATCTATTTTTGACCCTAATGTGAATCACAACATGGTTGAAGATTTCAGCAGCTATGGATTAAGCCAGTTTCCTCTTTATAAGTTAGCATTTTGCCAATCATAAATAGTCAATTTATAGCCTAAGTTGTAACGCAGGCACAGCTGATAAGGTTAAGCTGCTTCACAGTGTAAAAGCGATGATTGTTCGCTGGCATTCGCTCAATATTAAAGTGACTGTTGTTTGTTGCTCTCATTCTGATGTACAATGGTAGACCTGTGCACTTGATGTTACCATTCCCAACAAAAACTTGAAATTAATAATTCAGTGCAGCTGTAGGATAGCTTTATTTTCTCTGCACTGGGGCTGAGTCTTCTTTTATGAAAAGTAAAGAAGAGCTGCAAAAAAACTAGGCTGGGTCAAACTGCATCCAGCTGCCATTGTCAAGACTTGTTTGGTTTCCTTCTGGTGTCTTTCCCTTGTTCTTGAGCCTATGAGCACACACACCAACACACACGCACACACACATGCACGCACACTCACGCACACACACAACTCTTTCTAACCCCCACTCCTTGAGTAAACATAGCCTCTCCATAACAGTGCGAGGTGAGTCCACTCATGCATCAGAATCTACCATCAAATATTTATCACTGAACAGCAGTGATTTTGACCATGTGCCCATGCTTTTGACAGCACTCGCCTACTGCAATACTTACTGGAGTAAACACGGACAATCCAATATCGTTGTTCTTCTGAACGCTTGTGAAGAACTCAGAAGAAAGCAGCGATTAAAGTAAAATCCATTCAAGCCTGGCAGGGCATTCTAAAGGCTGTTGGGTCACGCTGAGAAGTTAAAAATTTAAAAGAGCTGATTTCTTAAAACTGAAGTACTCAAGAAATTATTTTCATTGTCATGCACAATGAAATGTTGTTGCCTAATTTCAAATCTCACACCATCAAACTCTGGAGCAATTGTTTCGGCTCATAGTTTTAGTTTTAAAAACAAAACAATAACTACAACAAAAACCGCTGTGTGCATGATTCATTAGATTTGCAGAACATAATCGTATCTGCACGCTGCATATTTGCTCGCTGCCCGTAACATCAATGTCTCCAACCTGCAGCTCGCACAAGTAACTCGAGTAACCCCCAGTAAATAAATCAGTGGCATGGATCAAGAGACACATCTTCATGCTTGAGCACACACATTTAAAATGCCACCAAAACATCGTCCCAGATTCTGCCCTCAGTCAAATGACATCAAGTGCTCACTTACAGGTCCCTGAATTCCCCAGTATGAAGCAGAATCAGCCAGCGGGCAGTACATGGAGTAATCAACGAGATAAGTATCCGATTTAACTTTAGCGAAAATTCAACCTGAAGAATGTTTTAGTGTCTTGTGTTATCAAGCTGTGCTGCTGGATTCAAACAAGGAAGGTAAGTAGGTTGGTGCAATGTAATGCCATGTAAACTGGGCCACTTTACCCCTTACTGGACTCTAAATGGAGTTGGCTGAGGACGAGTGTGTACAGGAAACAGAAACCCAGTGATTCAAAGCGACAGTTATCAACATCCTCTGGCTAGTGAGAGAACATAGCTTGCACAGTCTGCAGAGCCCAAGTAATGGCAGACTACAACAGCAAAAAGATAAGAAGATGACTCACACAGCACATAGAGTCCAAACAGCCGTGAGCAAAGCAAATCAGGGAAGGAGCTGTGAAAAACAACCAAAAGAAGGCAGTACAGCTCTGTGTCTCCACCTGACATGGGATGTCACAAACCTAAGGTGACCTTTCGCAATGTGATGTCTGAAACATCTTGTGTACGAGTAGGTTCAGTCCTCACAGTTTACACATTGCATTTTTGTGTGGATGGTTTGAGGGCTAAAAGCTCTGTGCCAAATGAGTGTGTATGTAGTTGTAGAAGATTTACATATTGTACCTGAGCTGAGAGAAACTGTGTCTTTCTCCCATGACACAACGCTGACGTAGGCCTCCACAGAAGCAGGAATAATGCACTTGAAGACAGCTACACTGCCTCTCATAGCCTTCTGGTCTGCCACTCGAACTGTGTAGGGTTCTCGCGAAACTATTCATAAAGAAAAAACAGGAAATTATTTTTGAAATAGTTTTCCAAATGTTAAACAGGGACTTTGAAAAACACGTTCAATTAAACATGGTTTGTCTAGTATTGTCTTGGGTATCTGGAAACCTTTTTTCTTTTTCTTTTTTACATACACAGATTAAATCTACCTTACGCATAACCATTACTCTTAAATTACACTTGAAGAAATTATGACAAAACACAAAATGTAGTACCACAACAACAACTGGCAACGTGGCCCTTCTGCCGTGGACTCACCAGCTTTGATGTGGACATCCTGACTCCTAATCTTGCCAGAGGGGTTCTCCGCAGTGCAATAATATGTGTTGTCGTGAATCAGCTTGCTGAAGCTGGATGGCAGGAAGTTGAAGATTTGGAGGGTTCCATTAGGATGGACGTGGCGGATGCCGGGAACATCATAGATCTCCTCGCCGGTAGCCAGATACCACCGCAGGGAGGCAGGTGGTGCACCCCCAGCAGGACAGGGAACCGAGGTCCCTGTGGTGCTGGCAAATACTACCTCTTGCAGAGATGCATTGACAAAGTATAGACTGGAATGCAGATCTTCACTGAAAACTGTTAAAGAGAAAACACAAGATGTTTGTTACAAACAAGCATTTTTATATTTCTTATAGTACTATTTTCTAAACCCTGTCCTTTTCTAATTAAGTCTGGACCACCTTTGAAAAATATGCAGATCGTTTGGCATAGATTTTGTTTTTGTTCTTCTTTACATCTAAATTTGTTTGGTTTTTCTAAAATGAATAATGAAAATGATTACATTTGGAAAGACTGGTATTCTCGTAAAGTCCCTCTTCGCATCTATTCATAGATCCACATCAGTCATTTTGGATTCATTAGTATATTCCTATCTGTGGGATCCTGAGAACATTAAATTAACATGCACTGCCTTGAATTATGAAATAAGGTCAGTTGTCATGATCATGTTCTAGCTTCAATTCAAGCCAGTTTCACATGAAAGGGAAGGATGTTAACCGCATTGTGTGCAGGAGCGTTCTCTTGAGGAAAGGAGGGTAATAAATGTCAATGTTGGACCAATTACCATCATAGAAATCAACAGCTGTTTGATTTCAGAGTAAAGAGAAGCCAGGCCAGCAGATGTGAGAAACAGAGCTTGTGTGTATTTCAGGCAAAGGACCACAGCACTTTTGTGTGTACTGCGCCTGCCGTCCCTGCCTGGTGACTCTTCACTGAACGGCTCACTGTGGCATTGGCAGCTGGCTTGGACCCTCTCTGGAGAGAGAGCATTTTAGCACTTCATAAATTCCTAACAAGGTTTCAAATTGCAAACGTTTCCTTCTTTTTCTCTGCTCCAGCAGCTCTAAACCAGCAATGAGACACTCCAGTGACCTGCTCATATACCCGCACATCTGCACGACACTTCTTCGTTGTAACTGATTAACAAGCTCTGGACATCTGCATAATTTCTGAACCAAAAAAAAAAAAAAAAAGGCATGCGTTTCAACAACAAATTTTAAGGGATCCAGTGCCAAGAAGAGAGTATAAATAAAACAAAAAAATGGTTTACAAAGGCCTCTTGTATCTAAATATCCCATACAACTTTAAATGTCTATTTACATGGAATATGAAGTCTCTTTTCATGTATATGGACATGTCAGTTGGTTTGCCTTGACTCTGTGATGCATATCATGTGTAACCCACTAGGACAGCTCTCCTACTAATGTGGCATATGTGATGCCTCCATGCTGAAACATCCATAATATCCAAACATAAATGATAATAATCACCTTTTAACCTTTTAAAGAAAATGCAAAGTCTTTATAATGTAGAGTTCATAGTGGAATTGGAATATTGGTATGTTGGATTTCATAGGAATGGTAAGTCAGGTACTCGGGTCTCTTGGGCTTTTTGGAAGGCATTCTAACAATTTAACATGCGCCCTCCAGTCATAGGTTACCTCGTAATCCTCATGCAAATACATCATTTGCAAACATAGCATCTGCCAGCCATTTGCAAGTCAGAGTGTGTAAACTCTACATGGCATATTTCTATTTTATCAAGACAGTGCGGTATACTCCTAGAGATGAAAACTGTATCCACTCTTGTCTCCAGTCTCTTACATCAAACAAGTTTTAGCCAATTTCAATGTTTTAAAATGCAGCCAGATAGTGTGATGGGTTGTGGATGGGACTGTGGCACCAGCCAAGATGAAAATAATACATCAAAGTCATATTAAATTCTCATTAATTCTCTTTTTCCAGCTGGCGCAGGAAGTACAATTCTTCTCAGTGCTCTGTTGATAATACAGCCCGGAGATGGGAGGGGTGGGGGTCAAAACCACACCTGTTCACGGATGTTGCTCAAGGTAAGTGTGAAGGAGAATGTACTTTAAAACACAATTTTTTCTCTGCTCCAGCAGCTCTAAACTAGCAATGAGACACTCCAGTGACTCGCTCATATACCCACACATCCGCACAACACGTCTTTGTTGTTACTGATTAACAAGCTATGGACATCTACATCATTTCTGAACAAAAAACGTTTTAAAACGGCAACCATTTCTACAACAAATTCCAAGGGATACAGACTGTGTAGAAAATCTGTTTAATCTCATTCTTATACATGGGCATGTCCAGATGGGAGAGCTATCTTTTGACAGCGTCACGGACCATGGTGAACTACTTCCCCTCACAAGCATGCACATTAAAGACTGTTTTAGAGCCATCTAGTGCAAATTTGCAAATATCAAACAACTAAATCTAAGGCCCTTTGAATAAAGGGAAGCAATTTCCAATTGGGGTACATTTACAGCTGTGTGTTCACTATGGGGTTGTATTGAGGGTTCTCATAGGTTGCTGTGTTTTTTATACAATTCTAAATATTTAACAAGCAAATTCTTGAGGAAATAAGGATGTAGTGCTTTAAGTACAACTTAAGTTTTTTTTACAAACTATATTAATGGATGGTAGAGTTAAAGAACATTTTACAATAATGTGAGAATAATGTGGGAACTGCTATTTATTCAACTAAATGTGTTTGACAGGACAAACTCAAGTATCAAACTCTTAATCTTAGCAATAATTTGGCCTTGGGCATTAAAATGTTTGCTTTTGTCGTGAATAAGTTTAAGGGAACAGGAACTAAAAATAAAACAGTCTTTATCTGTCTAGGTTATCCTTGTGGGGACAATATTTTGATGTTTGAAAATAACTTCATATTGCTGACTTTAAACAAATTTATGATGCCCAATAAAAGATTTATCTCAACAGTCCACACTGGACTCAAATCCTGAGCCAAATATCAATATTGTGACAAAACCATTAAAATGTTCAATAGCCAACGTGCAAGGAAATGCTAAGCCATGTGTAGCATAACTCTAAAAAGGGAAAATGAATCAATAAAATATCCACCTGTGTAGTTTGTGGTGGCCTTTAAAATATATTTTTTTTTTAACCCAAATGACATGGTGTGATGTTCTATTTTTATGTTTTTTTTTATTGTATTCAGCCTGTAGGGAAGCCTGCAGGTCACTGCAGTAGGACATCCTAATGATTGATAAGAGGGACTATCTGTTTATCTATATTTTGCTGTGCTGGCCACAGGTATGTGTTGTGAATATGCTCATGTAATCTTTTTTAACACACATGTATCTCTCAGCTTTCTGCAGCCAAGCTGAACATGTAGTGTCATGCTTTCCTATTTGTGCATTTCTCTCCTTTGGAGATTGAAGGCCTTCTCTCAGCATAACTGTACACCACCATCTGCCATTAGTGCACTTTCAAATACTGAATTCTCTGGTTGCTTCTGATGTTTTAAACTCTTTTGGGTTTAGAGTCACGTAAAATGCTAACTTTCTTATCCAAAATGGCATCCTACGTTGACCAATTTCTTTTTACAAACTCACCTTAAACTGGGTTGACCGCATCTTTTTGATCAGAAGCTGAAACTCCTGACGCCAGACAGGGTGGACCCAGTATTTACTTTAACCAAGAAAACAACAAATTTATCCTCACCACTCCACAGCTCCATCCCACTAATGTCCAAAATGGATTAATCAATAACATGCATCTGCTTCACTAGCAACAAAGAGCATTTCCACAAAAATGCGGTCATGATGAGAGATCTCTAAGTATATGTGAGCTCTGTCTTTTTGCATAATCATAGATTGTAAGACCTGGCCAGCAGGTGGAAGTCATCTTAGCAGTGTGTTCTGTGCTGTATTGTTTGCTCAGAAGATGGCGGAGAGAGGAGCCACTCGGGGAACCATCCTGTTGTTGATTGTTCTTCTTTTTTCAGGTTACATATTTAAAAGATGCATACATAAAAACAAAAACTTTGTTTACGAAGGCCATTAGTATCTAAATATACCATACAACTTTAAGCGTATATTTACATGGAATATGATGTCTCTCTTCATGTATATGGACATATAAAGCATATCAAGTTTAATTAAACAGGACAGCTATCCTACCTGTAGAAATGTGGCTAATGTGATGCCTCCATCCATACTATTGTAACATCCATCATGTCTAATTATAAATTGGAATAATCACCTCTTTAACATAAGAAAATGCAAATAGATGTAGTGATTTAGAGTTCATAGTGGTATGTTAGATTTAATAGGAATAGTCAGTTGGGGTCTCAGGTCTTTGAGACACCAGGGAAGACAAAGATAATAGTATCAAAATGACATTGATGAATCAAGGAAATTTACATTTTTTTGGTTCTTGGACAATTATTTGTTTAAAAATAATGCAAAAGAAATAGATAAAAATGCTCTGCAAATACTCCACCGTGTCTAACTGACACAGAGTTTAAAGTGTAATAATAGCAGATTTCAAGAAAAGGAGAGATCAAAGAATTGTAGGTCAACCTGGAAATCAGTACGAATGGTGAAATTGGATTAGGATTAATGCCGCAGCAGCTTCGACATTCTTTAACACGTTGAAACTACGTGGGAGCAAGTCAATTTAGACTAGAAGAGTGATCACAGGATTGATTTAATTAAAAAAAAGTAATGGACTCTGGTGGAAGGGTGAAAATCACAGCTGTACTCATTTTTCAAAGCACAGAATCCAGGAGTCAGATCACAAATGGTCCAATCGCACAGGAACATCTCCCTCTTGGACCTCACAAAGAGCATCCTGTCATGCCCCTACAAATAGCCTCAGGACCCAACCACTTACTATGCTGCCTGTGAGAAAATCAGTTATCGGTATAATTTTTCATGAGCTCAGCTGTAAAGGTGAAATAAATGGCACTGTTCAATAATGCATCATATGCATCCATAACCGACTATGATTTTTTTCCCCACTAGGATATTCTCAGCAATTTCATCTACACTTCAGGTGAAGCAGCCCAATTTTATTTTCGGCTCTACCCCTGATTTTGAAATGGCTGAAATCATGAAAAAGACATTATGGATGTCAATTAATGTTAGGTATTTTTATCAGGAGTAATGTTAGTAGATGCAATTGTAAGTGATGCTAATTTCTGGCTCAACTCTGGTCTCCACCAACCAAAACTTCTATTCTTCAGGTGGTAATTGCCAAACATTGTTTAATTGCTTACGGTCTCGTCTTTTTGAAGCTTGC